AACTGAACTAGAACTGAACTAGAACTGAACTAGAACTGAACTAGACTGAACTAGAACTGAACTAGAACTGAACTAGAACTGAAGAACTAGAACTGAACTAGAACTGAACTAGAACTGAACTAGAACTGAACTAGAACTGAACTAGAACTGAACTAGAACTGAACTAGAACTGAACTAGAACTGAACTAGAACTGAACTAGAACTGAACTAGAACTGAACTAGAACTGAACTAGAACTGAACTAGAACTGAACTAGAACTGAACTAGAACTGAACTAGAACTGAACTAGAACTGAACTAGAACTGAACTAGAACTGAACTAGAACTGAACTAGAACTGAACTAGAACTGAACTAGAACTGAACTAGAACTGAACTAGAACTGAACTAGAACTGAACTAGAACTGAACTAGAACTGAACTAGAACTGAACTAGAACTGAACTAGAACTGTACTAGAACTGTACTAGAACTGAACTAGAACTGAACTAGAACTGAACTAGAACTGAACTAGAACTGAACTAGAACTGAACTAGAACTGAACTAGAACTGAACTAGAACTGAACTAGAACTGAACTAGAACTGAACTAGAACTGAACTAGAACTGAACTAGAACTGAACTAGAACTGAACTAGAACTGAACTAGAACTGAACTAGAACTGAACTAGAACTGAACTAGAACTGAACTAGAACTGAACTAGAACTGAACTAGAACTGAACTAGAACTGAAACTAGAACTGAACTAGAACGAAACTAGAACTGAACTAGAACTGACCTAGAACTGAACTAGAACTTGAACTAGAACTGAACTAGAAATGAACTAGAACTGAACTAGAAACTGAACTAGAACTGAACTAGAACTGAACTAGAACTGAAACTAGAACTGAACTAGAACTGAACTAGAACTGAACTAGAACTGAACTAGAACTGAACTAGAACTGAACTAGAACTGAACTAGAACTAGAACTGAACTAGAACTGAACTAGAACTGAACTAGAACTGAACTAGAACTGAACTAGAACTGAACTAGAACTGAACTAGAACTGAACTAGACTAAACTAGAACTGAATTAGAAGGACTAATAAGTTATTGTAAACAAATTGTTCCGTTGAAGTTCTCTTTGTATGTTTAGGTGTAAAGTTGAATAACGTTTTAGGACCTATTTTACTTAGAGATCAGTATCACTTCCAAAATTTCACATATTCAAATAACATGCATAATAAATTTCTCAAATTAACCTTAACAACTTGATTTCTAAATTGCCTGTCAAATGGCTTCTTAGTTCAAAATCATAAAATGAAACCATAGAGTTTTCAAAATTAAACCCATAAAACCATCAACACGTGTTATGTTATTATCTACTCCCTGTCGCCCCAATGAGTGGGAGTATATATGTTGAAGACATTTCTAAAACAATTTGTCTCAAGCTGAAAAACTTGTCTTAGAGATGCAGTGATGCATGTGAAGACCATTAAATTGATTAATACGTTATGAGTGAGTGTTTTATTAATCATAATATTTACCGTAATCTAGTACAAGTCTGCAGCAGCAGCAGCAACAGCCAGAAAAAAGGGTAATAAAGAGCAGTCAGTAAATAAGTAGAGTAAGCCAAATAAAATGTGCTTAAAAATCTAAAACCTTTGAAAGATATTTTTTCTTACTTGCTTTGCCATCATAAATCTAAAATTCAAGAACACACACACACATATTTTCTTCTGCCACTTGATGATTATACTGTTATCATGCTAGACAACACTGCCATACCCTAGTAGCATTCTTAATATTAGAACAACCCCGCCCACCACTAACATTTAAGGATGCATGAATATTTATAAGGCTAAAAAAGTTAAGTTAAGAAAGAATCTTTTACTAGAATTAACAACGTTGTAACTTGCTTGTGTTATTGCCATAAGGCAATTGTGGTAGCTAAAAAATAGAAAAGGAAAACTTTTTATCAAAGGAGCCCTTTACAAACAAAATTGAGGGCATGTATGTATAACACATACTACGTACATACAATCCCCCCTTCGTAGTCTAAGACAGTTATTGATACAACCACCGGTTGTGCTGACTCCGAAAAAATTAAGTTTTTTTTTGCTTGCTTATGGGGTTTAAAGGGAAAGGCTTTTGGTTCCTGTTTTGAATTTTTAATATTTTACTTTAGTTGTCTCCCTAAATGCACTACATACGTTGTCATAGTTATGTATGTAAATATTAAGGAACTGGTGGATATCCTGCAAAAACTACGTGGGTATTTTAAAGGATTATTTGGAATTAAAATATGGTAAGATGTACATTTTTAGTTAAAGAAGATTTTCTAGGAATATGTCTTAAATGATTGGCAAATTTGATATTTACATGGATTTAAATATCGCTGCATCATCAATGAACTAATTTCGAAACAATCGACCCGTAACATCTACGCTCACAGCATTATGTGTCCAAGGCGTATACCTGTGGAATTGTGAACATACTAACTAACTACTAACTAACTAACTAACTAACTAACTAACTAACTAACTAACTAACTAACTACTAACCTAACTAACTAACTAACTACTAACTAACTAACTAACTAACTAACTAACTTAACTAACTACTAACTAACTAACTAACTAACTAACTAACTAACTACTAACTAACTAACTAACTAACTAACTAACTAACTAACTAACTAACTAACTAACTACTAACTAACTAACTAACTAACTACTACTAACTAACTACTAACTAACTAACTAACTAACTACTAACTAACTAACTAACTAACTAACTAACTAACTAACTAACTAACTAACTAACTAACTAACTACCTAACTAACTAACTAACAACTAACTACTAACTAACTAACTACTAACTACTAACTAACTAACTAACTACTCCTAACTAACTAACTAACTAACTAACTAACTAACTAACTAACTAACTAACTAACTACTAACTAACTAACTAACTACTAACTAACTAACTACTAACTACTACTACTAACTAACTAACTAACTAACCTAACTACTAACTAACTAACTACTAACTAACTAACTAACTAACTAACTAACTAACTAACTACTACTAACTAACTAACTAACTAACTAACTAACTACCTAACTACTAACTAACTAACTAACTAACTAACTAACTAACTAACACTAACCGACTACTAACTAACTAACTAACTAACAACTACTAACTAACTAACTAACTAACTAACTAACTAACTAACCTAACTAACTAACTAACTAACTAAACTACTAACTAACTAACTAACTAACTAACTACTACTAACTAAACTACCTAACTACCTAACTAACTAACTAACTACTAACTAACTAACTAACTAACTAACTAACTAACTACTAACTACAACTAACTAACTAACTAACTAACTAACTAACTAACTACTAACTAACTAACTAACTAACTAACTAACTAACTAACTAACTACTAACTAACTAACTACGACTAACTAAAACTAACTACTAACTAACTAACTAACTAACTAACTACTAACTAACTAACTAACTAACTACTAACTAACTTACTAACTAACTACTAACTAACTAACTAACTAACTAACTAACTAACTAACTACTAACTACTACTAACTAACTAACTAACTAACTAACTAACTACTAAACTAACTAACTAACTAACTAACTAACTAACTAACTAACTAACTAACTACTACTAACTAATACGACTAACTAACTACTAACTAACTACTACTAACTAACTAACTACGAACTAACTAACTAACTAACTAACTAACTAACTAACTAACTAACTAACTACTAACTAACTAACTACTAACTAAAGACTAACTAACTAACTAACTAACTAACTAACTAACTAACTACTAACTAACTAAACTAACTAACTACTACTAACTAACTAACTAACTAACTAACTAACTAACTAACTACTAACACTAACTAACTAACTAACTAACTAACTAACTAACTAACTAACTAACTAACTAACTAACTAACTAACTAACTAACTAACTAATCTAACTAACTAACTAACTAACTAACTAACTAACTAACTAACTAACTAACTAACTAACTAACTAACTAACTACTAACTAACTAACTAACACTAACTAACTAACTAACTAACTAACTAACTAACTAACTAACACTAACTAACTACTAACTAACTAACTAACTAACTAACTAACTACTAACTAACTAACTAACTAACTAACTAACTAACTAACTAACTAACTACTAACTAACTAACTAACTAACTAACTAACTAACTACTAACTAACTACTAACTACTAACTAACTAACTAACTAATTAACTAACTAACTTACTGTCTGGCTAACTTTAGAAGAATCAGTAAAACTACTTTCATACACTAATCCCTTCAAAATTTATTGCTGTACATTAACCATCCCAACACTACTTGTAAACATTACTGGATGACATGATCTATTTAATAGTCCTATGTAATGCAGGCTTGGATCATGTATACTTTCTCAATAACAACCTGGTCCATACTCTGCATTACAAAAGCGATCATGTACTCTGATATGCCTGGATTACGTGGTCCTCCCCTAAGACATTACAATGTTAAATCTAGTATATTTGAAATAGTTTTGGACCAGTCGTAGTCCTTTGAGGAGAACTCTTTACTCTTATGTCTCTGTCATGGTCTATACTGTCTGCCCAACGTAAAGAAAGAATAAGTTTAATGCTATGTCGTCCAATTGGAATATAATAAATAGTCCAACTTTTCCTAGATAGAAGTGATCCTAATACTAAAATAATTGTCATTTTTGGAATTCCCTGAAAAAGTGTTTGGTCTAGCTGGACGGACGCAATCGTTTAAAACTCTGTTGGATTTTAAACATCAATTTATCGGTGTTCCAACTAAGAACTATTCACGGACTTTATATAAAAGATAGTCATTCGAACTTGACTATATCCTTCACAATTCAATCTTCGAGATATGAGACCTTAAAACTAGTATTTTTTATAAATATTTTAGTTAAAAAAAGGATATTAATTAGCCAATTCATCCACCAACTGTACAACTGGCATAAAAACAATATGGGTCAGCAGGAAATCATCTAAGAAGGGATCCACACCGCTGACTTGACTGCCCAAACGAGTCTCTAATAAATGTTCCAACATCTTTGAAGGTGTACCCGACATGACAGTGTATCTAAGTAAAAGAAAAGTTGAAGCGAAAAAAATACAAATTAAACTTAATGTCTAAACAGTTTAAACTCTAAAATTTGTTTAAAACTTTTTTGTAAAAAAGTTCACCAAAACTGCACACACGTACAACGAGAAATAAAAACTTAAGAAGAAAAGTTTCTACTCCCCCCCCCCAAAAAAGTATCTGTGTACTTACTTAAATGCCGAATGCTGTCCTCTTTGCTTTGCAACACGTTCTAAAACTAAAACATCTTTACCATGCTCTTGTAATCTTAAAGTATTTGCCTCAACATCACGTAGTATACGATTGAAATGTTCTTTATCCACACGCAACAGATGGCAATTGTTTTCTTTCAAAACTATGGTAGCAGCTCTGGAAAAGAAGGGAAAAAGAAAATATTTAAAATATTTGTTTTAAGCAGAAAGAAAAAGAGTAATGCTAAAGGATTAAATAGCTTTAAATATAAATTATAATTTAAATCCTTTTTTTATGCCTTTTTCAAATGCAACAGTGTTAGTTTTATAAATTTAATTGATTTTTATAATTATTTAGTGGGAGTTGTATGTATGTAGTAATTACACACCATTAACTTTAGTTGCATTTTAAATGTTTTCAATTAAAAATTTAATTTTATTTTGTATTATTTATGTTACGCTTTATTTATTTATTTGTTTAATATTTATATACATTTGTTATTGTTTGTTTGTTTGTTTTAATGGCTTTTGAAAGAGTGACCCGCCCCCCTTTGATAATAAGTTCTGCCAGCCAATGCATTTTGTTAATTGAAATTTAATCCTTGTTTGCATTTACATCCATTTGCAAACACCCATGTAAATGTAGTTTAGTGTTTTTGTGGTCCTGTGTGCCATTTACATTCATTTTCCAAACTAATCCTGTTGTAAAACACATGCATTCATTGCAAATTGGTTCGTATGTCTATTTACGTTTGGAAGTATACTGGTGGGATAGCCTGCAGTTTTAATGGATGCCAATGTGGAGGTTTTTGAGAATAGTGTTGACATGTTGACCAATATCTCTTGACTTAAGGCCAAAAGGTCCTCTTCGGATGAGAGTCAAATCTCATCCATTTCCTTCTGTTGTTGTAACAATTCAATTGTGGCCGATAATTCTTTCCAGGGAACAAAACTTCTTCTTCTTATGGAACCCAATTTATAACACATGTTGTTACTTGAAAAAGTCATTGATTTAATCTAGTCTATAGTCTAATCATAGTCAAGTCCATAGTCTAGTCTATAGTCTAGTCTATAGTCTAGTCTATAGTCTAGTCTATAGTCTAGTCTATAGTCTAGTCTATAGTCTAGTCTATAGTCTAGTCTATAGTCTAGTCTATAGTCTAGTCTATAGTCTAGTCTATAGTCTAGTCTATAGTCTAGTCTATAGTCTAGTCTATAGTCAAGTCTATAGTCTAGTCTATAGTCTAGTCTATAGTCTAGTCTATAGTCTAGTCTATAGTCTAGTCTATAGTCTAGTCTATAGTCTAGTCTATAGTCTAGTCTATAGTCTAGTCTATAGTCTAGTCTATAGTCTAGTCTATAGTCTAGTCTATAGTCTAGTCTATAGTCTAGTCTATAGTCTAGTCTATAGTCTAGTCTATAGTCTAGTCTATAGTCTAGTCTATAGTCTAGTCTATAGTCTAGTCTATAGTCTAGTCTATAGTCTAGTCTATAGTCTAGTCTATAGTCTAGTCTATAGTCTAGTCTATAGTCTAGTCTATAGTTCTATAGTCTAGTCTATAGTCTAGTCTATAGTCTAGTCTATAGTCTAGTCTATAGTCTAGTCTATAGTCTAGTCTATAGTCTAGTCTATAGTCTAGTCTAGTCTAGTCTATAGTCAGTCTATAGTCTAGTCTATAGTCTAGTCTATAGTCTAGTCTATAGTCCTAGTCTATAGTCTAGTCCTATAGTCCTAGTCTATAGTCTAGTCTATAGTCTAGTCTATAGTCTAGTCTATAGTCTAGTCTATAGTCTAGTCCTATAGTCTAGTCTATAGTCTAGTCCTATAGTCTAGTCTATAGTCTAGTCTATAGTCTAGTCTATAGTCTAGTCTATAGTCTAGTCTATAGTCTAGTCTATAGTCTAGTCTATAGTCCTAGTCTATAGTCTAGTCTATAGTCTAGTCTATAGTCTAGTCTATAGTCTAGTCTATAGTCTAGTCTATAGTTAGTCTATAGTCTCGTCTATAGTCTAGTCTATAGTCTAGTCTATAGTCTAGTCTATAGTCTAGTCTATAGTCTAGTCTATAGTCTAGTCTATAGTCCTAGTCTATAGTCTAGTCTATAGTCTAGTCTATATCTAGTCTATAGTCTATAGTCTAGTCTATAGTCTAGTCTATAGTCTAGTCTATAGTCTAGTCTATAGTCTAGTCTATAGTCTAGTCTATAGTTAGTCTATAGTCTAGTCTATAGTCTGTCTATAGTCTAGTCTATAGTCTAGTCTATAGTCTAGTCTATAGTCTAGTCTATAGTCTAGTCTATAGTCTAGTCTATAGTCTAGTCTATAGTCTAGTCTATAGTCTTCTATAGTCTAGTCTATAGTCTAGTCTATAGTCTAGTCTATAGTCTAGTCTATAGTCTAGTCTATAGTCTAGTCTATAGTCTAGTCTATAGTCTAGTCTATAGTCTAGTCTATAGTCTAGTCTATAGTCTAGTCTATAGTCTAGTCCATAGTCTAGTCCATAGTCTAGTCCATAGTCTATAGTGTAGTCTATACTCTAGTCTATAGTGTAGTCTATACTCTAGTCTATAGTCTAGTCTATAGTCTAGTCTACAGTCTAGTCTATAGTCTAGTCTATAGTCTAGAATCAGAGAAACTTTTCTTTAAACTTTCACTGGTTACTATTATGTGTTTATGTTCCCTGCTTCGTTTGTAAAATCGCTGGCCCCATCCGAAAATGGACCCATGATCTGCAAGGTTTATATGCTACTAACCTGCACCTCTCTCTCTTTCTATTAAAACTTGTTTATTGAATTTTTTGGCTTTGGGATTTTATTGCTTTGCATGTGCATGTGGGTCCGTACATAATATTTACATTTTCCAACTACTAATTCGACATAAAAGGCCTTTCATACAGTCAAATGGAATTTGTAATCAATAGATAACTATAGGTTCAACCAGGAGTTATTTAAAGTTTTGTTATACAAATTTGATTTTAAAGGTCGTTTGACAATTGCCTTTAAGTTTTAATAGAAAAAAGAAACTGCAGGAATCTTGAAGATTTTCAAAAGTCTCAAGAGCCCAATATATTGTTATGGAAAGAGTAGGCTTTGGTTGGTTAACGTTCAAGCATAGTCGTTAGGACTATTCGATCCAGGCGCTAGCAGTGAATTAACTCAATGGGCCATTGCATCTGGACCCAGGTAATACATCAAGGTTGGGTATATGTATTTGCTAAAGAAGGAGGACTTCGAGTTCTCACCACTGAAGAACTTATTTTATAACTCTGCGAGATTTCCAGATTTTGATTCTATACTCTACGAACTACAGGCGACCACACAGATAATCCAAGATCTATATGTTGGAATAAGCTGTTCCCTGCTTCGAAGAGCTTTTACTTGTAATCTTTACGAAATAATGAGTGATCAGAAAGTTCAACTTTAATACAAAGTCCTGCATGAATGTTGACCTTTCTCTACAAATGTCTTTGGAAACCACGATCTAAAGGAATCTTGAGTCGTTCCAATTCTTCTGCACTAATTTCGAATCTGTTACTATATTATGATCTTGGTTTGACAGAAGTTTCCAAGGTAGATGGATCTGCTGTTGTTCTACATCTTTACGCAGTTTCCTGCACCTCGGGAATTTTCTAAAAAAGGGGTTTCCAAACAAATATTTAGTCGTTTAAATAGATGGAAGTTAAACGGAAATGCTGAAGAACTTCTTTTGTAATTTCACGAAATTATAATCGTTTGTAATCTCTACGAACTACTGGAGGCTACTCAAATATTTCTCGATCAATGTGTTTTAGGAACTTTGGTCTTCGTTAAGAAATCGTTATGAAATGTTACTGCAAATCCTAAATTAATGGTTAGTGTTGTAGTCTGTTAGATCGGAGATCGTAAGTTCGATTCCCACCTGAGACTCTTGTAAAGGAGCGCAGGGTGGGAATCCGCGCAATACACCTAGGTCCGATAGAGACCTAGGTGTATTGCTTCGGATTTGATGTACATATGTATATATATCCTCCTTTCAAACTAACTAACCAATTTTGAAACACCTGAGACTCTTGTAAAGGAGATCACAATAGATCCGATAGAGGCCTAGGTGAGTTGTTTCGGATTTGATGTACATATGTACATCCTCTTTTCAAACTAACAACTTCCAATTTTGAAACAGATCTTGCGAAATATCTTTTCGATTTCTTGAACTTGGGTCTATCGAGTATAAAAGTTTTAGCATTGTTTTTGATTTCTTAAGCATCTCGTTGAACTTTGCTTATAATAAAAACGTTACTTAAGTAATTTAAAAAGGAATCCATTAAGTCCAAAATGACCAAAACATTGCCTAGATATTTAATTATAATTAAAGAAGAAAACAAAAAACAATTTACGCACTTTTAATCTACAAACAATTTACTATATTTACAACCAAAAAAACGTGCTTTACTTTACTTTCTTTTGGTAGTAAATATATTTTTAAAAAAGAATTTTATTTGCTTGAATATTTTATTTTGACAGCTGAAGCTGTTAAATAATAATTAAATTGTTAAAATTCCATAAAAGTAAAACATAAAAAATAACCAAGAAAAACAATACCATTAATACACTTTCAAGTCCCCCCCAATGCATTCAAACGAAAAAAAGTAAACGTGAAACTCACCTGGGTGCGTCGTTAATCAAAGCCAGTTTACCAAAGTCATCACCACTCTTAAGGGTGGCCACAGTGCCTTTGCCATGTATTACAACATCCACAGAACCTTTCAGTATTATATACCAAGAACGTCCCTCATCACCTTGACTGAATACTGAGGGTGAGGGTTTAGAGCAGCGACAGACGTCCAATAGCATTCGTTACGAATTTATTTATTTATATATATTTTTTTTGATAAAAGAATTTAAAAAGAAAAGAATAAAAGTTAAAATTGCGTTTAAAGAAAGTATTGAAAAGAATTTCAATCAACATTTTTTTGAAATCATTGCCGTTTTAACTATATTGCATACCACACCCTCCCCCGCCCTCTCAACCTCAGCAACACATTTACATTTTGTTTCTATAGAGTTTAACAAGTTTTGTATTGTTTCTTGTGGTTTTTGTTTGTTGGCGGGAATATTTGTTTATAAATTACTTCGCTGCTACCTTTCTACTAACAATGACAAAGTTTAATTCTATCAAACTTTAATAAAGATTATTTCTTTAAGGTATTTAATTAACTATAAAACAAACTTTTTCCCTCTCTCTCTCTCTGTCTCTCTAAGGGAAAAAGAAAATAAACTTCGCGAAAGTTTATGTTTTCATTTGTTCTTTGTGCTTTTCTTTTCTATAATTGGAGTTGTATTTATTAGTGAATTTATGTGGAAATGTGGTTGCTTATCTTTTAGGTTTCATAAAGGGCGGGAAAAAATTTCTAGGATTTTATTGAACTGGTTTTAATTACAACTACAGTGGGCAATAGTGCGACAGTAAATGTGTTTTTAACAATTTTCAATTTCTGATCGTAAAATGAGGATAGGAGCTTTCTTATTTTATATGCTTTTATTCGTGATCGAGTTAATTTAAGAGAACATTTCTGTAAAAGCTTTTTATATAAAAGTTCATTCTATGAAAGTTTTTTATATAAAAGCTCGTTCTATAAGAGCTCATTCTATAAAAGCTTTTTATATAAAAGCTCGTTCTATAATTTTTTTTTTATATAAAAGCTCTTTAGAAAAGCTTTAAATGTATATAAAAGCTTTTTCTATAAAAGCTTTTTATATACATAAAAGCTCATTTTATTAATGTTTTTTATATGAAAGCTCATTTTATAAAAGCTTTATATACAAAAGCTCATTCTATAAAAGTTTTTTTTATATAAAAGCTTTTTATATAAAAGCTCATTTTATAAATGATTTTTCTAAAAAAGCTTTTTTATAAAAGCTCGTTCTATAAATGTTTTTATAAAAAGCATTTATATAAAAGCTTATTTTATAAAGGTTTTTTATATAAAAGCTCACTCTATAGAAGTTTTTTATATAAAAACTCTTTAGAAAAGCTTCTTATATAAAAGCTCTTTAGAAAAGTTCATATGTATGTAAAAGCTTTTTATACAAAAGCTCTACATAAAAGCTTTTATTATGAAAGTTTTTTCTATAAACACTTTTTATACATATAAATGCTCTTAATACAAAAGTTCTTTATAGAAAAGCTTTTTTATTAAAAGCTCCTTACAAAAGCTATTTTATAAAAACTACTTATATGTATTACTTTTTATATAAAAGCTCTTTATAAAAGTTTTTATATAAACGCTTATTATATATATATTTTGTAAATAAATGTTAAAAAACTTTTTTTGAAAAGCTTTTATATAAAAGTTTTTATATAAAGAGATTAACAAAAGCTTTTATATAAAAAGCTTATTATCTTTATATAAAGACCTTTTGTATAAAAAGCTTTTTATATAGAAGCTTTTTTTTATTTTTTTTTTGTATAAATATTTTCATTAAAAGCTTTTTATTTAAAAAATTGTATATTATGTTTTATAAAAAAGCTTTTCGTATAAAAATATTATATAGATGTTTTGTATATAATGGTTTTTTTAAGCAAAAGATTTTAAAAAAAGCTTTTCTGGCAAAAGCTTTCTAAAAAAGCTTTTTTATAAAATGAAAAGTTTTTTATATAAAAGCTCTTTTTATAAAAGCTTTTTTTATTTATTTTTGTATAAAATATTTTCATTAAAAGCTTTTTATTTAAAAAATATATTATGTTTTATAAAAAAGCTGTTTGTATAAAAATATTATATAGATGCTTTGTATATAAAAGTTTTTTTAAGCAAAAGCTTTTTTAAAAAAGCTTTTCTGGCAAAAGCTTCTTAAATAAACGCTTTCAATCTATGCAAAAGCTTTTTACATAAGCTTTTTTTTCAAAGGCTTTTTATTCACTTAAAAGTAGTTTTCAGAAAAGAGCTTTATCGGATAATATGTATTTATTGTTTTCTTTTTGTGATCGAGTAAAGATGATCGAAATTTACTTGTTGGCTGTTCTGTTTACTGTTGGCTGTTCTGCGAAATAAATTGAAATACTTTTAACTAAAATTAAGTTTTTAAAAAAGAGTTTTTCTCACAACAATAGACAATAAAAGCTTATGTATATGAAATGAAGTTTTAGAAAAAGAACTTTCCCACAAAAGATTTCTGGAAGCATTTCTGCAGTAAATGCTTATCTAATAAAGTGGAAAATAGTTCATTCCAACTTCTCTAATTATTACAATAGCCGCCTTAATTGTACTTCATTAACAGATTTTAATTATTCCTTATTCTATGTAAATTCTCCCACCGCAAAATACTTTCCGACAACATTTCTTTCCCCAACATACTTCAAAAGCAATTTGAAAAAGAACAGCAAAGACCATTAGACAAATAACAAAAATAGAAAGCAAATACTACTTACAGATGGTTCCAGCTTGTGCATGAGATTCAAAAACAATAATCGATGATAATTCACGTTTAATACTTGTTGATAAATGCGATAATGCAGCAATATGTAAAAGTTCTTCAAATACCAATTCTAATTCTTCGGGTGTGCGTTCATGTGAGCTATTTGAGGAAAGAGTAGAAATAAATAAAATGAAAAAAAAAAAAATGAAAAATATTTAATGGAAATGCAAATCCATGAAATTTAAAGAAAAAAGTTTTCTCTATATTTTTGTTTAGAATTTTAAGACTTAAATATGTTTTTTCCAGAGATTTTATTCTTTTTATGATTTTCCATAAACTTTAAAATAATTTCTTTCCTTCCGTCTACTGACTGACATTGAGCAGAAAAGTTTTTTACTTGTTTAAGATGATTTTAATATTTGCACTTAAGAGTTTCATAAAATATGCATAATAATATTTTATTATTTTTTAGTTCTACTTTTTTTAAACAAAGCTGTATACTTTTGTAGAAGTACTCTTAAACATAGATATTTACTTTAAATACAAACTAAATAACAGTAAAATTCTTCTTTTTACTTACGGTTTTCGTAAAATCATACGCAACGTAGCATCGGGTCCTCGCTGTAGCAGACTACTTAAAGCTTCACGTACATGCTCATTACTAGCATTTAGATCGTCTGTGGAGGGGTGACCGCCCGCGGTACCTTCTTCATCAACACGAAATCGATATAGAAAACATTTATCCTTAAAGGGTTGTTCTTTGTTAACTGAAAAACGAAAATCACATGAAATAAAATAAATTAAATGATTTCATTACAAAAGGATTTTTATTTTAGGCAAAAGTATGGCAGAAAATAATGTAAGAATTGCCCGGAAATGGAAATAAAATTAAGTCCGTAAAAACTAAAGCTCACAAATTGCTAAATTTAATCATAAAGAAAGTAATACTCAAGAAAAAAGAAATAAAAAGAAGAAGAGAAATATAGAAGGTTCTAAATTTAATTGTCCGTAAAATATCTACAAGGCAATTCATCTCTAACTAACTAACTAACTAACTACTAACTAACTAAATAACTAACTAACTAACTAACTACTAACTAACTAACTAACTAACTAAATAACTACTTAACTACTAACTAACTAACTACTAACCTAACTAACTAATACTAACTAACTAACTAACTAACTAACTAACAACTAACTAACTAACTAACTAACTAACTAACTAACTAACTAACTAACTAACTAACTAACTAACTAACTAACTAACTACTAACTAACTAACTAACTAACTAACTAACTAACTAACTAACTAACTACTAACTAACTAACTAACTAACTAACTAACTAACTAACTAACTAACTACTAACTAACTAACTAACTAACTAACTAACTAACTAACTAACTAACTAACTACTAACTAACTAACTAACTACTAACTAACTAACTAACTACTAACTACTAACTAACTAACTAACTAAACTAACTAACTAAACTAACTAACTAACTAACTAACTAACTAACTAACTACTACTAACTAACTAACTAACTAACTAACTAACTAACTAACTAACTACTAACTACTAACTAACTAACTACTAACTAACTAACTAACTAACTAACTAACTAACTAACTAACTAACTAACTAACTAACTAACTAACTAACTAACTAACTAACTAACTAACTAACTAACTAACTAACTAACTAACTAACTAACTACTAACTAACTAACTACTAACTAACTAACTAACTAACTAACTAACTAACTACTACTAACTAACTAACTAACTAACTAACTAACTAACTAACTAACTAACTAACTAACTAACTAACTAACTAACTAACTAACTAACTAACTAACTAACTAACTAACTAACTAACTAACTAACTAACTAACTAACTACTAACTAACTAACTAACTAACTAACTAACTAACTAACTAACTAACTAACTAACTAACTAACTAACTAACTAACTAACTAACTAACTACTAACTAACTAACTAACTAACTAACCTAACTAACTAACTAACTAACTAACTAACTAACTAACTAACTAACTACTACTAACTAACTAACTACAACTAACTAACTAACTAACTAACTAACTAACTAACTAACTAACTAACTAACTAACTAACTAACTAACTAACTAATCTAACTAACTAACTACAACTAACTAACTAACTAACTAACTAACTAACTAACTAACTAACTACTACAACTAACTAACAACTAACTAACTACTAACTAACTAACTAACTAACTAACTAACAAACTAACTAACTAACTAACTAACTAACTAACTAACTAACTAACTAACTACTAACTAACTACTAACTACTAACTAACTAACTACTAACTAACTAACTACTAAACTAACTAACTAACTACCTAACTAACTAACTAACTAACTAACTAACTAACTAACTAACTAACTAACTAACTAACTAACTAACTACTACGAACTAACTACTAACTAACTAACTAACTAACTAACTAACTACTAACTAACTAACTAACTAACTAACTAACTACTAACTAACAAACTAACAACTAACAACTAACTAACTACTAACTAACTAACAAACTAACTAACTAACTAACTAACTAACTAACTAACTAACTTACTAACTAACTTACTAACTAACTAACTGACTAACTAACTAACTAAATACTTAAATTTTCTACACAAATGAGAATTGCCACAAAAATCTTATTTTTTCATAAAAACTCCGATTTTATACTAAAGATTTGATTTTGTGCTAAAATTCTGAATTTCCAATAAAAATTTCCATTTTTACTTCAAATTTGAATGTTCACTAAAAATTCTTTTTTTTACATAAAATTAAAATTTTTACTAAAATTTAGATTTTGCACTAAAATTTATATTTTACCAAAAACTTATCAATTGTCTAGGCTATATACTAATATATGTATAGTCCTGAATTTAGATTAATCTATAGTCCAGACCTTACACTATCTATAAACTTTTACGGTTTTTTTTAATTGTTTGAGATGATTTTAATATTTGCACTTAAGAGTTTTGAGTTTACATTTTCTGCAGTCTAGACTACAGATTAATCTATAGTCAAGTCTGTATAAAGCTTATAGTCCATGCTATAGCCAAGTCTACAGTTTAGACTATAGGCTAATCTTTAGCCCAGACAATAGACTAATCCATGGTCTAGTCTACAGCTTATAGTCCACACTAATTTATGGTCAAGACTATAGACAAATCTGTAGTCTAAACTATAAACTAATCTATAGTACAGATTATAAACTAACATATTGGCCAAAGATTAATTTATAGTTCATACAATAACAAATTTTTGGCCAAGACTTAGAGTACCTTTAGCCCAGACTAGAGACTACTATGTACTTCAAATTAGAGTCCAGACGAGAAACTAATCTATAGCGTAGGCAATAGGAAATCTATACTCTGGACACTAATCTATAGTCCTATATATAACCATAATAAATATAGAGGAACAATAATTATTGTTTTTTATAAAAAAAGTACTTTTTACTATTTCACCCATCACTGATTGCATCTTTTTCTTATTGTTTACTTTTAACATAAAGCTAATAACAACAACACTGTCGTTACTTCTGCTAATAACAACAACAATCAATGACTCCTATTTCTTTACTCCCAAAATTCACCAAAAGTAATTGCTCTTCCTTTTTCTTATTTGCATTCTGCTTTAGTTTTCTATAAATTTCTAAAGTGTTCGGTTGTCTTTTGATGTGTCGTCTTATTAAATTAAGTGTCGGTCGTTAATTAATCGTTTATATTAAAAGTTTATTGCATTAAATTGTTAATTACACATTAGTTAATAATTTTTTTTCAAAAATATCTAAGAAAAGTGTTAAATTTAAAGCGAAAAAAGTGTTAGAATTTTGCGAAAAGTTAATGCAATTTTTTATTCCGTGGCGTGGCGTGCCGGTCGTTCGTTGTTTTTGCTTCAGTTTGGCTATTCGTTTAAATAACAACAACAAAACAATGCGTGTCTTTATGATGAAGAGATGGGAGGTGTGAGAATGTAACAAGTAAAGTTGTTGTTGCTATTATGAAAAAAATATGTATTAATTTTGGTGCAAATCTTTTGTTAGAAAAGTGGAGAGTGGTGTGAATATAGAAGTGGTGTATTAGCATTTGTTGTTGTTGTTATGAAAAGAAAAGAAGTAGTGTGTTTTTTTCAATGCAAATAAATGTAAATAAAGTGTGAAATGTAAATAAAAAGCAATCATGTTGATAAAAAAAGTGTGTTAAATAAAAAGTCGAGAAAAATATGAAGGAGGAAATGTTAGTTTTCGCAAAGGAAATGGAAAAACATCTTTATTTGGACCATAAATTAAAGGTGAGCGAATTTAAGTTATTTTTCATTATTATTAAATTTTTTGCCGTAATAAATAGTTTTGATATTTAAAAACAAACTGCCTTAAAATTTTCTGTTGCTAGCTTTTAATGCACAAAATTATCCCATTGTGCATACATAGGTCTAGTCTATAGTCTAGTCTATAGTCTAGTCTATAGTCTAGTCTATAGTCTAGTCTATAGTCTAGTCTATAGTCTAGTCTATAGTCTAGTCTATAGTCTAGTCTATAGTCTAGTCTATAGTCTAGTCTATAGTCTAGTCTATAGTCTAGTCTATAGTCTAGTCTATAGTCTAGTCTATAGTCTAGTCTATAGTCTAGTCTATAGTCTAGTCTATAGTCTAGTCTATAGTCTAGTCTATAGTCTAGTCTATCTAGTCTAGTCTATAGTCTAGTCTATAGTCTAGTCTATAGTCTAGTCTATAGTCTAGTCTATAGTCTAGTCTATAGTCTAGTCTATAGTCTAGTCTATAGTCTAGTCTATAGTCTAGTCTATAGTCTAGTCTATAGTCTAGTCTATAGTCTAGTCTATAGTCTAGTCTATAGTCTAGTCTATAGTCTAGTCTATAGTCTAGTCTATAGTCTAGTCTATAGTCTAGTCTATAGTCTAGTCTATAGTCTAGTCTATAGTCTAGTCTAGTCTAGTCTATAGTCTAGTCTATAGTCTAGTCTATAGTCTAGTCTATAGTCTAGTCTATAGTCTAGTCTATAGTCTAGTCTATAGTCTAGTCTATAGTCTAGTCTATAGTCTAGTCTATAGTCTAGTCTATAGTCTAGTCTATAGTCTAGTCTATAGTCTAGTCTATAGTCTAGTCTATAGTCTAGTCTATAGTCTAGTCTATAGTCTAGTCTATAGTCTAGTCTATAGTCTAGTCTATAGTCTAGTCTATAGTCTAGTCTATAGTCTAGTCTATAGTCTAGTCTATAGTCTAGTCTATAGTCTAGTCTATAGTCTAGTCTATAGTCTAGTCTATAGTCTAGTCTATAGTCTAGTCTATAGTCTAGTCTATAGTCTAGTCTATAGTCTAGTCTATAGTCTAGTCTATAGTCTAGTCTATAGTCTAGTCTATAGTCTAGTCTATAGTCTAGTCTATAGTCTAGTCTATAGTCTAGTCTATAGTCTAGTCTATAGTCTAGTCTATAGTCTAGTCTATAGTCTAGTCTATAGTCTAGTCTATAGTCTAGTCTATAGTCTAGTCTATAGTCTAGTCTAGTCTAGTCTATAGTCTAGTCTATAGTCTAGTCTATAGTCTAGTCTATAGTCTAGTCTATAGTCTAGTCTATAGTCTAGTCTATAGTCTAGTCTATAGTCTAGTCTATAGTCTAGTCTAGTATAGTCTATAGTCTAGTCTATAGTCTAGTCTATAGTCTAGTCTATAGTCGTCTATAGTCTAGTCTATAGTCTAGTCTATAGTCTAGTCTATAGTCCGTCTATAGTCTAGTCTATAGTCTAGTCTATAGTCTAGTCTATAGTCTAGTCTATAGTCCAGTCTATAGTCTAGTCTATAGTCTAGTCTATAGTCTAGTCTATAGTCTAGTCTATAGTCCAGTCTATAGTCTAGTCTATAGTCTAGTCTATAGTCTAGTCTATAGTCTAGTCTATAGTCTAGTCTATAGTCTAGTCTATAGACTAGTCTATAGTCCAGTCTATAGTCTAGTCTATAGTCTAGTCTATAGTCTAGTCTATAGTCTAGTCTATAGTCTAGTCTATGGTCTAGTCTATAGTCTAGTCTATGGTCTAGTCTATAGTCTAGTCTATAGTCTAGTCTATAGTCTAGTCTATAGTCTAGTCTATAGTCTAGTCTATGGTCTAGTCTATAGTCTAGTCTATAGTCTAGTCTATAGTCTAGTCTATAGTCTAGTCTATAGTCTAGTCTATAGTCTAGTCTATAGTCTAGTCTATAGTCTAGTCTATAGTCTAGTCTATAGTCTAGTCTATAGTCTAGTCTATAGTCTAGTCTATAGTCTAGTCTATAGTCTAGTCTATAGTCTAGTCTATAGTCTAGTCTAGTCTAGTCTATAGTCTAGTCTAAGTCTATCATAGTCTAGTCTATAGTCTAGTCTATAGTCTAGTCTATAGTCTAGTCTATAGTCTAGTCTATAGTCTAGTCTATAGTCTAGTCTATAGTCTAGTCTATAGTCTAGTCTATAGTCTAGTCTATAGTCTAGTCTATAGTCTAGTCTATAGTCTAGTCTATAGTCTAGTCTATAGTCTAGTCTATAGTCTAGTCTATAGTCTAGTCTATAGTCTAGTCTATAGTCTAGTCTATAGTCCAGTCTATAGTCCAGTCTATAGTTTAGTCTATAGTCTAGTCTATAGTCTAGTCTATAGTCTAGTCAATAGTCTAGTCTATAGTCCATGCCACCTCTGTATGTACTATATACCTTCAAACATAATAAGTATATGCCTAGCAGTAAAAGTATATATGTAGGTATAATATAATCTAAGAGAGAACAAAAATTATTCATTAATTTACCATGTGATAATATGCCTTCCTCCAGTAAAGCTTGCCACATGCCAGCCGCTTGGGCTCTTGTATGAACAATGGGCGATAAATTCACCAACCAATCTACCAATTCAGTACCAGGAGCACACTTACGTATAAGTTTGCCAGAAACCTAAATACGAAAAAAGTATAAAAAATATAAGCAATATAATGAGCAACATTTTGTGGCAAAAAAAGAGAGAGAGAGAAAAAAACATCATCATAAAAAATAACAACATTATTCAAATTGTTAAAATTAATCACAATTTTGTTTCTACTACCAAGTGTTGGCAGTTACTTTTTTCCTTCAAAGTGTTTTAGAAACACACTTACTTTTTTTTACTAACATTCGTTTTGCAAATAAAAGAATAATGTATTCAAAATACACAAACGTTTTTATTAATTAAAAGCTTCTTAAATGTTAACAGCTGTCTTTAATTTAACCATATCAAACCATTTACATACATATATACACATTCACTTTCACAAACTTTTATATGTATGTATATACAAATGAATATAATTTATGTTGCCACCAACTCCCCTGCCAATACTACATACAGCAATTTAACGATTGTTATTAAGCAGTCCGACTGTGGTAAGGATTACAAAAAAAAAAAAAAAAAAACAAGGTCGAGAGCTATACTCACTTGTGTTGAATATTAAGATCCCTCAATACAGAATGTTTTGATTCGTTAGTCACACATTATTGTGACGATCAAGACCATAAAAATAGCTTGAATCAAAATATCTTAGTTTGCGCTCTTGTAAAGCGAGGTCGTTCTATCATTCGGTGTTGTACTCAGTGTTCTTCGTCTATAGAACTTATGCGGTTAAGATCGCGAACAATCTGACACGCCTTAAATCGTACAGTGTCCAGTAAATTTGACTATAAGAAGCCTAAGTGAATATTTATCAAGACCTCAAGAGAGGTTCTTTTCAGTGAAACAATGATACGTAGATAAAAACTGAAAGAATAGAAAGATTCGTTCTATGTGTTCCCTTATGTGTTTGCGGATTATTCTCGATATTAACTTTGTGACGGTTAGCAGATCACCACTAGTTACTAGTTCATTTCTAGTTTAGTTCAGTTCTAGTTCTAGTTCAGTTCTAGTTTAGTTCTAGTTCAGTTCTAGTTTAGTTCTAGTTTAGTTCTAGTTCAGTTCTAGTTTAGTTCTAGTTTAGTCCTAGTTCAGTTCTAGTTCAGTTCTAGTTCAGTTCTAGTTCAGTTCTAGTTCAGTTCTAGTTCAGTTCTAGTTCAGTTCTAGTTCAGTTCTAGTTCTAGTTCAGTTCCAGTTCAGTTCTAGTTTCAGTTCTAGTTCAGTTCTAGTTCAGTTTTAGTTTAGTTCTAGTTAAGTTCTAGTTAAGTTCTAGTTCAGTTCTAGTTCTAGTTCAGTTCTAGTTCAGTTCTAGTTCAGCTAGTTCAGTTCTAGTTATAGTTCAGTTCTAGTTCAGTTCTAGTTCAGTTCTAGTTCAGTTCTAGTTCAGTTCTAGTTCAGTTCTAGTTCAGTTCTAGTTCAGTTCTAGTTCAGTTCTAGTTCAGTTCTAGTTCAGTTCTAGTTCAGTTCTAGTTCAGTTCTAGTTAAGTTCTAGTTCAGTTCTAGTTCAGTTCTAGTTCAGTTCTAGTTCAGTTCTAGTTCAGTTCTAGTTCAGTTCTAGTTCAGTTCTAGTTCAGTTCTAGTTCAGTTCTAGTTCAGTTCTAGTTCAGTTCTAGTTCAGTTCTAGTTCAGTTCTAGTTCAGTTCTAGTTCAGTTCTAGTTCAGTTCTAGTTCAGTTCTAGTTCAGTTCTAGTTCAGTTCTAGTTCAGTTCTAGTTCAGTTCTAGTTCAGTTCTAGTTCAGTTCTAGTTCAGTTCTAGTTCAGTTCTAGTTCAGTTCTAGTTCAGTTCTAGTTCAGTTCTAGTTCAGTTCTAGTTCAGTTCTAGTTCAGTTCTAGTTCAGTTCTAGTTCAGTTCTAGTTCAGTTCTAGTTCAGTTCTAGTTCAGTTCTAGTTCAGTTCTAGTTCAGTTCTAGTTCAGTTCTAGTTCAGTTCTAGTTCTAGTTCAGTTCTAGTTCAGTTCTAGTTCAGTTCTAGTTCAGTTCTAGTTCAGTTCTAGTTCAGTTCTAGTTCAGTTCTAGTTCAGTTCTAGTTCAGTTCTAGTTCAGTTCTAGTTCAGTTCTAGTTCAGTTCTAGTTCAGTTCTAGTTCAGTTCTAGTTCAGTTCTAGTTCAGTTCTAGTTCAGTTCTAGTTCAGTTCTAGTTCAGTTCTAGTTCAGTTCTAGTTCAATTCTAGTTCAGTTCTAGTTCAGTTCTAGTTCAGTTCTAGTTCAGTTTTAGTTCTAGTTCAGTTCTAGTTCGGTTCTAGTTCAGTTCTAGTTCAGTTTTAGTTCAGTTCTAGTTAAGTTTTAGTTCAGTTTTAGTTCAGTTCTAGTTCAGTTCTAGTTCAGTTCTAGTTCAGTTCTAATTCAGTTCTAGTTCAGTTCTAGTTCAGTTCTAGTTCAGTTCTAGTTCAGTTCTAGTTCAGTTCTAGTTCAGTTCTAGTTCAGTTCTAGTTCAGTTCTAGTTCAGTTCTAGTTCAGTTCTAGTTCAGTTCTAGTTCAGTTCTAGTTCAGTTCTAGTTCAGTTCTAGTTCAGTTCTAGTTCAGTTCTAGTTCAGTTCTAGTTCAGTTCTAGTTCAGTTCTAGTTCAGTTCTAGTTCAGTTCTAGTTCAGTTCTAGTTCAGTTCTAGTTCAGTTCTAGTTCAGTTCTAGTTCAGTTCTAGTTCAGTTCTAGTTCAGTTCTAGTTCAGTTCTAGTTCAGTTCTAGTTCAGTTCTAGTTCAGTTCTAGTTCAGTTCTAGTTCAGTTCTAGTTCAATTTTAGTTCAGTATTTAGAGAATAGACGTTTTAGATAATTTTTTTTTATTTTTCCTTAGAAAGTAGTAGTCTGGCGGTTATAAAATGTGAATGGATGAATTGATTTTCTCCTGGGAATGGTACACGTAAAGAAATTGTTGTAGTCTTATATAAAGATAATGTTGCTAACTACCACCTCGAACTGCAGGGCAAGGTTTTGAAGCACACTTTTTGTCTTCATTAGTAGTGTTTAATTGTGATATTTTATCACCACACTTAAAACCAATTATATAATCATTAAATATTATTATGGAGTGTATTTTTTTTTCACCAACAACACTTATTGTCATTCTGTTTACACTTCTCTCTGAAATAGAATGTATAGTTAGGTATCTGTTACTTACTTTTCTATCCTTTAAACAACTTGAACTGTCAGCAACCAATAATGTTCGTAAAGCCCATCCCATACGATTCATAGCAGGACTAGGAGACTGCAGAAAGAAAGAAAATTTAAATGAATGTAAAGTAAACAATTAAAATAACTTAAATGAAAATTATATTTTCATAATTATGTTGAATTATGAAAGCAACTTAAAAAGGAGTAGTAGAGTGTAAAAAAGCTAAAGATTGTTTAGCTAAAGGGTGAAAAAACGGGTCATAACATTGGTTAATTGTTGAAAAAAGTGTAGGGATTATTAAATAAGAAGTTATCTTCTAGTGGCACTCAGATTACTTATTTAAATGAAGGAGTAAATTAAGAAACTTCATTAGGAAATAGTTAAGTGGTTTTACTTTTCACGAGTAATAACATTTTTGTAATATTAAAGACATTTTTTAGAAAGCACTGACTCTCCATATATTTTAATTAAGAGAAAAAAACAAATATTTATGGAACTAGTTATGAAAACAATAAACTTTAACTAAACTAGTTCCTTAAGTAAAACAAAACTTTTCCAACTTATGCTTCTATCTATAATGGCTATGACGTACCCCTAAAAAGTGTTAAACAAAATATACTAAATAATATAAACTATTGTTTTAATTACATACAAGTGGCACCTTATTTTATGACTGTCTGTCTACCCCAAAACAACTCATTTAACTTGACCACAATAATAAATAGAAATACAAACGCCACAAACGTGTTGTCAGCAGCATTTTTTCCTAACCATTTCTAAGGCGAAAAAAAGCTAAATTTACAACAAAAAGTTGACAGACAAAAAACCATAATAAATGTCATTTCAACTTTACCAGACAACAATAAAAAAGGCCAAATGAAATGAAACATAAAGATAAATGTGAAAAAAATAAAATATTTATAATTTTACCTCTGTTATTGGTAGTGCCGGATTTGGATGATCAGGACTTAATGGTCGTTTTGTGGGTGATGAATTTGTTTGTTGTTGTTGTTGAACAGCAGGACCAAAACCTTGGTAGAAGAAAAAAGAGAAAATATTTATGTAAAAATAAGTTCATAAAAAGGATTTAAATGTATATGAATGTATAAATATGAAGTACATGTAAAAATTCCAAAATTACATACTTAAATATACACTGAGACAAAAGCCAGACTATTCATAAACAAGACTTGTTAATATGTAGACTATTCTAAAGAGTAGACTATAGTCCATAAAGTAGTCTATAACTGAACTAGAACTGAACTAGAACTGAACTAGAACTGAACTAGAACTGAACTAGAACTGAACTAGAACTGAACTAGAACTGAACTAGAACTGAACTAGAACTGAACTAGAACTGAACTAGAACTGAACTAGAACTGAACTAGAACTGAACTAGAACCAAACTAGAACTGAACTAGAACCAAAGAACTGAACTAGAACTGAACTAGAACTGAACTAGAACTGAACTAGAACTGAACTAGAACTGAACTAGAACTGAACTAGAACTGAACTAGAACTGAACTAGAACTGAACTAGAACTGAACTAGAACTGAACTAGAACTGAACTAGAACTGAACTAGAACTGAACTAGAACTGAACTAGAACTGAACTAGAACTGAACTAGAACTGAACTAGAACTGAACTAGAACTGAACTAGAACTGAACTAGAACTGAACTAGAACTGAACTAGAACTGAACTAGAACTGAACTAGAACTGAACTAGAACTGAACTAGAACTGAACTAGAACTGAACTAGAACTGAACTAGAACTGAACTAGAACTGAACTAGAACTGAACTAGAACTGAACTAGAACTGAACTAGAACTGAACTAGAACTGAACTAGAACTGAACTAGAACTGAACTAGAACTGAACTAGAACTGAACTAGAACTGAACTAGAACTGAACTAGAACTGAACTAGAACTGAACTAGAACTGAACTAGAACTGAACTAGAACTGAACTAGAACTGAACTAGAACTGAACTAGAACTGAACTAGAACTGAACTAGAATTGAACTAGAACTGAACTAGAACTGAACTAGAACTGAACTAGAACTGAACTAGAGAACTAGAACTGAACTAGAACTGAACTAGAACTGAACTAGAACTGAACTAGAACTGAACTAGAACTGAACTAGAACTGAACTAGAACTGAACTAGAACTGAACTAGAACTGAACTAGAACTGAACTAGAACTGAACTAGAACTGAACTAGAACTGAACTAGAACTGAACTAGAACTGAACTAGAACTGAACTAGAACTGAACTAGAACTGAACTAGAACTGAACTAGAACTGAACTAGAACTGAACTAGAACTGAACTAGAACTGAACTAGAACTGAACTAGAACTGAATTAGAACTGAACTAGAACTGAATTAGAATTAAACCAGAACTGTACTAGTACATGGATTATTTTACGTTTGATAGTCAATACAATCCATGGTCGAGTCGATGGTCAAAAGTCTTCTCATCGAAAGACTGGTTAGTAGACTAGTCCAATTTTTCATTAAAATTTAATTGTTACATGAGATGAATTCTCATTAAAAAATACATTTTCGTTAATTGAATCAAAAAAATTTAAAAAAAAAAATTTTGAACTATAATTTCTTTGTTTATTTCATTTGAAAACTGTGTATTCCGTAAAATATTTATTTTTCATCTGTTTACTTTTTGCCCCAAAGTTTCTGCTAATTCTATTAATTCTTACCAAAACTTTATTTTTTCAAACTTTACAAATATTTTTTTACATGATTATCAGTATTTACTTATTTGTTTGACGTTTGCTGGAGTTTATTTAGTTGCCGCAACCCCCAATTTCAATGTAAAATGTAAATGAACCTTTATCTCTTGAAACCCAAACAAATAAAAAAACAAACTCATAAAAACCGCAGTCGAATTTAAAAACAAAACCAAACTAATCTTGACCTTGAATTGAAAATGAATTAATTTTTAAAACAAACTAGTCATTAGGAACACATACCCCTCCACCCTGTTACAATACTAAACATTCTTTCTTGTTAAATACCTTAAATTAAAACAAATGCAAGATTTAAAGTTTTCAAACTTTTAGCAGCGCGAAAGTGACATTTAGTAGATTAATTAATTAAACTTTGCGGTTTATTAAGAAATACCTACAACTACAGCTAAGCAAATATATAATTTACTTATTTCAGAATTTAATTTAATTAAAATTTATAAAAACATTGCTAATAGCCATACATTTAAGCTATTTGTATTGGAAATAGTGCAGAGAATATTTACGCGTTGTTGTTATTAGTGAAGAGTATAAATAACAACAGAAATAAATAATTGAATAATAAATCCAATTTCAATTTATCATTATTAATAATTAAATTACGCATAAACTATATAATACGGCATCAACATAAATGAATGTAGAAATGGAAAATTTAATTTTAATGTTTAATTGCAAAAAATGTAAAGTATTGGAGAGAAATTTGTATAATTATATTTATGTATCATTTTAAAGAAAATTTGATTATTAGTACAATTTTTCAGGCTTGTAAGTAATTCATTACATCGAACAATAACCAATTACAACCACTTGTAATTGAAGTATTTCTAATTACAGTTACTTGTAATGTGTAATTGAACAATAAGCAATTACTTGTAGTTCTAGTTCAGTTCTAGATCAGTTCTAATTCAGTTCTAGTTCAGTTCTAGTTCAGTTCTAGTTCAGTTCAGTTCTTCTAGTTCAGTTCTAGTTCAGTTCTAGTTCAGTTCTAGTTCAGTTCTAGTTCAGTTCTAGTTCAGTTCTAGTTCAGTTCTAGTTCAGTTCTAGTTCAGTTCTAGTTCAGTTCTAGTTCAGTTCTAGTTCAGTTCTAGTTCAGTTCTAGTTCAGTTCTAGTTCAGTTCTAGTTCAGTTCTAGTTCAGTTCTAGTTCAGTTCTAGTTCAGTTCTAGTTCAGTTCTAGTTCAGTTCTAGTTCAGTTCTAGTTCAGTTCTAGTTCAGTTCTATTTCAGTTCTAGATCAGTTCTAGATCAGTTCTAATTCAGTTCTAGTTCAGTTTTAGTTCAGTTTTAGTTCAGTTCTAGTTCAGTTCTAGTTCGGTTCTAGTTCAGTTCTAGTTCAGTTCTAGTTCTAGTTCAGTTCTAGTTCAGTTCTAGTTCAGTTCTAGTTCAGTTCTAGTTCAGTTCTAGTTCAGTTCTAGTTCAGTTCTAGTTCGGTTCTAGTTCAGTTCTAGTTCAGTTCTAGTTCAGTTCTAGTTCAGTTCTAGTTCAGTTCTAGTTCAGTTCTAGTTCAGTTCTAGTTCAGTTCTAGTTCAGTTCTAGTTCAGTTCTAGTTCAGTTCTAGTTCAGTTCTAGTTCAGTTCTAGTTCAGTTCTAGTTCAGTTCTAGTTCAGTTCTAGTTCAGTTCTAGTTCAGTTCTAGTTCAGTTCTAGTTCAGTTCTAGTTCAGTTCTAGTTCAGTTCTAGTTCAGTTCTAGTTCAGTTCTAGTTCAGTTCTAGTTCAGTTCTAGTTCAGTTCTAGTTCAGTTCTAGTTCAGTTCTAGTTCAGTTCTAGTTCAGTTCTAGTTCAGTTCTAGTTCAGTTCTAGTTCAGTTCTAGTTCAGTTCTAGTTCAGTTCTAGTTCAGTTCTAGTTCAGTTCTAGTTCAGTTCTAGTTCAGTTCTAGTTCAGTTCTAGTTCAGTTCTAGTTCAGTTCTAGTTCAGTTCTAGTTCAGTTCTAGTTCAGTTCTAGTTCAGTTCTAGTTCAGTTCTAGTTCAGTTCTAGTTCAGTTCTAGTTCAGTTCTAGTTCAGTTCTAGTTCAGTTCTAGTTCAGTTCTAGTTCAGTTCTAGTTCAGTTCTAGTTCAGTTCTAGTTCAGTTCAGTTCTAGTTCAGTTCTAGTTCAGTTCTAGTTCAGTTCTAGTTCAGTTCTAGTTCAGTTCTAGTTCAGTTCTAGTTCAGTTCTAGTTC